CCCGTGTGCAGCGCAGGCAGCCCCTGCTGGAGTTCACTGCTGAATTCACTGATTTCACACTGACACAAACCCCTCCCTGCTCCACCAGCACACTTTGCAGAGTCCGAGGGTCCAAGAGTGACCACGTGAGAACCTCACCCTGAGCATTCTCCACCCCAGCCTGAGGAGACAAAACCCACGCTGCCACCACTGCAGGTGATGCTCTGGGTGCAGCAGGAGCTGCTGGCCTCACCTCAGGCTCTCTGCTGCTCCAGCTCTCTCTGCCTTCCCCTCCTTGCTGCCACAAGGACACGTTTCAATCACAGAACCACCATTTTGTAAACAAGGCAATAAATAAAAGATATTCTCATCAGCTTTACTGTGATCTACTCCTGGCTGTCCCAGCAATCAAGTTGATATCTACCTCCCTTAACATGAGGAAGGGCTTGTGCAACAAAATATTAATTAATTGGCTCTGCTAATGAGCAGGAGGTGTGTGTATCCCCACAAACAGTGTGTCCTCCTTATCTGACCAGGTTAAACCCTTCTCCTGCAGATCTGGGAGATGCTGTGCCTGGAAGAGCATCCTTGGGACATGGCCCAGGAGCTCCCCGCTCACCTGAGGATGCGGGAGTGGGGCAGCTCCTCAGCTGTGCTGGCAGCGAGGGCTCAAACAGCCCTTCCACAGAACCTCCAGCCTGGCAGAGACCTGGGAGATCATCGAGTCCAGCCCAGCCCCAGCCCCTCAACTCCACCCTGGCACCCAGAGCCACAGCCAGGCTTTGTTAAACACACCCAGGGATGGGGACTGCACCAAAACCCCGGGCAGAACATTCCAGAACTTTATGGTCGGATTAAGCCCTTTCCTGACCCAGAGATGGGGCAGCTGAGAGGTGTTTTAAAAACTTTTATTCCATTCTCAGTCTCATGTGAAGGGTGAGACAATACAGATGTTATAATTCATGCCATCACAATCAGAAGCCAACTATTTCCTAATTCAATACATTGTAAGTGCTTCTTGGCCTATCAGCTCTAGCCACACCATGATGTAAATGCCCGATTCTCTACAAATTCATTTCTCACACTTTATCACTCTTTCTGTAGAAACCTTTTCCCTAACATCCAAGCTAAATTTCCCTTGGTGCAGCTGAGGCTGTGTGCTTTGGTTCTGCCAGTTTCTGGAGAAAGAGCCCAACCCCACCTGGCCACAGGCACCATTCTTTTCCTTTTCCTCTTCATTTTCCTTTTCCTTTTCCTTCCCTTCCCAGGCCTTATCTCAGGCAGCCAGCCCTGCTGCCTGCAGCCCTGATCACAGCTGCACCGTGTCCTTTGAGAAGCTCTCCACACACTCAGAGATGCAGCAGCTCAAGAGCTCAGTGACAAAAGGGACCTCAAGCACCTCCTTTTTTCCCTGCCTGTCCTCCCCACCTCACCTGCTCCATCCCAGCAGGACACAAAGCACTGATTTGAGAAAAACAGTCCAAGGAAAAGATTTTCTGCCTCAGGATCTGCTTTTCCCTCAGCAGATGAGGGAAAATATGTCACCATCCTCTCCACATTTCATGGCGTTATTTGCAACCTAAATAGCTCCCAAATTTAATGAATGGCAGAATTTATTAATATTTATTAATTCGTTAATTAATGGTAGTTTCCCCATCAACACCTACAGCATGGCAGCCTGCCTCTGCCAGCAGCCTGTCCCTGTTTTTAACCCAGGAAAAGGTAAAAAATGTAGAAAAGGCCCCATTTCCCTGAAGTTCAGAGATACTCTGCCATCCTCCGTGTTGCTTTGGAGATATTTTACAAACATGCCACTGAGAGGGGGTTATAAATGGGTAACATTTCTTTAAATCCACAGACTGAAAAGCTGCTTTGCAATATTTTAATCACACCCCTCATCTGTTTTCTAGCCTGCAGTACCTTTTGTACCTTCTTGCAGCTCGGGAAGGGAAGAGACTCAAGTGAAAAAGCACAAGTAGGTCCACGTCAGCCAAATTTCTCTATTTATCAGCTGCTACCAGATAACAGAGGATGCAATTTTTGGTTTCAACCACCCAGCACAAGTGGAGTTGTAATCAAACACCTGATTTGGTCTTCAGCCAAGCTGGTATTCCTGGCAAACAGCCAAAGAAGTAGTTGGGATTTAGCAACAAGTGCCTTTTGTTTGCACAAATTAATGTGGAGTTTGCCCTTGGCCTGTGAGAAACAAACCAGAGATGGTATTTTGCTGTTAATTGGTTATTTATTTGTTTTTATTCTAGTCCTGCTGCCCAAAATGAACTATAAACATGGGTCTGCCCTGCTTTGTAAGGGGCTGAAGAGAAAGTTGCCATTTCCAGCCAAACTGGGATAATATCCATTTCCAAGTAATGCTTTGCCAAGGCATTTTCCAGGCCACCTTGCTGCAGCACAGGCCTTGTTGAAATTCAACAGGGAGATTACTCCTCCTTTGGAGGGATTAGAGGAATTGAAGAGTAACTGCCATTCAATAATCCCATGTAAGTATCTAATCAACCATAATGTAATTACCAGAAAGTTTTAAAAGGTCAAAAAGGCCTCAGTGTGACGTTACTTGAAAAGGAGAAGATTCCTCCTCTGCTCAGACAGTGACTTAGAAAAAAGAAGAAGTTGAAGAGAAACAGAATGTAAAAGTGGAATGTATTTTTCATCCTCCATTAAAAACTCAAGAGACAGGCAGGAGAGAGGGAACAGCACAGGTTTTGTTCTGCTGGTGCCTCAGGTTTTAGTTTTTCTATTTTTCAGATTCTGTGCTGCTTTAGTGTTGTGGGTCTGAGATTCACATTAGGGAATCTCCTGCTCTTAAAACAGAGCAGGGAGACAAAATAATTCCTTCTCCAGCTGGGGACCAAGGACAAATGATCCAAATCTCAGGCCCAAGAGCACAAACACTGTGGGCTGGAGAGAGAAAAACAAGCAGGATGGGACTGCCTGGGCTAAAGCTGGAATTGGACAATGAACTCCAATGTGCAAATGGAGCAGAACTTAGAAAACTGAGAGATCCCATGACCTGTTGTGCATTTTGTGACCATTTTGGGTTGTGCTGCCCAAGGTGGATCCATTGAGGCCTCTTAATAAATCCCTACTTTACTCTTTAGCTCTGCTCCAGCTCAGCCTTCCCAAGGCACCACTCCCAGAGAAATCACAGCCACAAAACCCTGCTGGAGCAGGGAACCTACTCTCCAGGTAACACACACATGCTGCTCCTTCAAGTGCATCTTGACATGAAACTTCACAACACCGAGCATTGCTCATCTTCCAACAGCCTAAACAAGCTGGTTTTTACAGGGATTTTTTAACACTTAAAGCAACAGACAGAAAATGAGAAATATCTGAACAATCCCACCCTTCTCCAGGCCTTGCAAGAGCAGAAATAACTCCCCAAGCTCAGGGCAAGTTGCAGGGAGTGGGAGAGGGGGGAAGAGGAATAAATGGCTTTTTAAAGTGAAGACTTGCAACACATGAGGCAGCAGATGTTACAGCCATTGGCAAATCTCTGCAGGGACCAGGCATCACCCCTGAACAGCACTTTCAAAGCCTCCAGATCATGTTTCTTTAACTGCAAGAACAGATTCCTAATAGGAAAACCCTCCCACATTATCCCACCTTCCTTCCCAGGTGGAAATCAAGGGGACAAGGCAAGCAAGAGACCTCAGCTACATTTTCTCCTTTTCCCAGATAAGGACAATACAACTTTTTATTATCTAGCATAGTAGGAATTCTCCCTAATTTTCCTTTTAACAGCAATTTCTCCATAACAGATAAAATTCTGTCTTTAAAGAGTTGTTCTTGACTAATGTTCAGACTTGAAGAACTGGAAGGTTTCTGCTTGTTTAATGAAATTTTCAACACCTATTCAAAACTGTGGAGCGGGCTAAGAGGAGAAAAAACACAGCCTTAATTTAGACCAACAAATCTCAACCAGCCACATTGGGGAAAATGCCTGAAAAAACCAAAGGCAAGTCAAGCACAAAGAGGAAAAAAACCCCAATAAGTGGATCCACCACGAGTGACAGGTGGAGTGGTATTTTAGAAGAACCAAAGTGAAGTTCTGTGCTGGAGCACTCAGTTACCTTCTTGAAGAGGCGTCCTGAGTCCTCGCTGACCTGGACAAAGCGTGGGATGATGTTGTTGAGATAAATGTCACTGAGGGTGGTGTGGTCCCTGCTCTCCCTCTTCACCTGGTTGAGCAGCAGGTTCCAGCAGTTCACTGGTGACAGCACGTTCTGATCCTTCCTGCAAGGACACAAAACAGGAACAGCTGGACAGGATCCTACCACAGCTGTGGGTCTGTAAATGAAGCTGTGGGGTGGGTGGGATGCTGAGGAGCAGAGAAGAATACACAAAATTCAGTTCTATTTCCACACATTGCCCCATGAGCTTTTGTCCCCCAACAAACAGATCTTGTAAATGCAAGCTGCAGTGTGCCAAGTGCAGGTTTTAGTTCTTCCCTTTGAATTCAGGATTTTGTGCATAAATCAGAGCCTGAGGGAGGAGGGAGGGCGATGGCTCCAGTGTCTGACAGAAAGGTTTCACAGCCCTGTCTCAAGCATTTGGGTCTTAACCACAATAAAAAAGATTTCAAGCACCCAATGAGCCAAACAGCATCTGCATAGGAAAGAAAATGCAGTTTCTCCTGTGCAAAGCCCATTATGTGAAGGCATCTCTATCTTCTCTATCTGTCCCCAGCCACAGACAGCAGCACTCCTAAAAGCTGCTTGATTTTCTCATCTTTGAAATTTCCCCACCTTCTTTCAGCTGGAGCACCAAGCAAATGAGCAGTGCAAAGGGCAGCAGGGGAGAGGAGAGGAACCTCAGTTTATTTGGGTCAGCATTTCATTTATTGGAATTAATAAGTTGTCTCTCAGAGCAGCATTTCACCCCAGATGGAAGCTGGGGGTGCTCCAGCAGCAGATCCAGGTGGAGCCTTAACAACAGCATTTGCTTCTTATTTACCATTCACCCACAGCATAATAATATTTATCTAGAAAAGAGTAAAACCTGTGGTGCAAAGCCCTGATTATTGTAAAATACTCTATCAGATTTCTTTCCTCCTAGAAGAACTATAGTTTAATTTCCATTGAAAAGGGAATATTCTGCACTTGAAAGGACAGCAATCTCTGCTGCAAGAAACATTGGGAAAATGGGAAAAGTGACCCAGGGCCGAGTTTCATTACACTTCTCGTGACACCAGCAGCTGGATTTGTGCTGCAATATGGATAATTTTAGATAAATAGCTTCAGAACAGCTGATCTTGATTTTCTTTTTTCCTTTTCTTAAAAAAAAAAAAATTGGAAAGCTCAGGACTGACTGCAGCTTGTGATCCAGACTGCTTCACCCACTGACTCCATCCATCTCTGCCCTCTAAAGCTGGCAGAGCTACAAGTGAAAATTACCCAGCCACCATGAAGAGTTTGGGAACGAAACACAGGAACAAAAAATCCCCACCAGCTGACCAAAATGCTGCCTCAAAGCCCCTCAGAGCCCCATTCCTGCTCCATCAGCACCAGGAGCAGCCTGGAGGAGCACCAGGAGCTCTGGGGAAGGAGCAGGGAGCCCTGATTCCCCAGGAAAGGGAAGCAGGAGAGCTGCAGGAGTTAAAAAGGAGTTCAAGCCCAGCTGTCCCAGCCACAGCAGCCCTGCCTATTCCAAGGCAGCAAATAGCAGGGATAGCAGGAGCCTGTGGAAAGGCTGGGGAGGGAAATCCCTGGAGTTTGCTGGCGCCAGATGGGTGTTGACACGCTCGGTGTGGTTACACATGAAAGGCCACCCTGCAGGGAAAATCACCCCAAACCCCACAGCTCCCAGTGCACGGCTGGGATTGTCACCTTCAGGAGGATGCTCAAGCCACACTGTCATTTTAAATTCCTTTAATTTCTTGCTGTCTCTTGGTTTTAATAACTCCTTCAGTGCCTTGTTGGAATGGGCTCTTGGTTTTGTACAGAACCAGCGAGGAAGGGAGGCAAAACCTCTCCCTAATTATTTGCTATCAGCAAAAAGCTGATACATTCAAGGCAGAAATGGAAAACAAAAGGAAAGAGTTGCTTCAAACCTCCCAAGCATCCTTTAAAACTCCACACACATTAACTTTTAAAGCACCTCTGGAGCTGCAGCTTCCCCTGGGGTGGGACACGGGTGCAGTTTTCCCAACAGGGAGCAGGAATTCTACAACTGCTCCCAACAGAACCTCTTCATCCTCACCACAGCAGATGACAGGGAGCAAACTGGGACTCCCATCAACCATTTAACCCTCAAAGGAGCTGGCAAAGGCACTCTGCCCCCAGTTCCATGTCACCTCAGAGGAGGGATGGAAAAAGGAAGGGAAATATCACTAGGGCCTGGTGGGTGTAACCACCCCCAGCTCCATCCCCACACTTTCTGCAGAGTGACAGGGTCCCCCCCTTCACCATGGAGAGGTAAAACTGATGGGATCAACCCAAAACCTTCAGGATGTGAATATGAACTTTCCCACAGTGCTGGTGCCTTCACACTGAGGACGACTTTTTGATTCAAACCTCCCCCATAAGAAGGAGGAGGAAGAGGATGCCAAGATCCAGGTTTATTTCAATCACTGCTTCTCCTGTAAAGATGGTGTGGTGATAGTGAGTGTGGAGAGTTTATTTAGGTTAGCCTAAATTACAGCAGATCACAGCCATGGGGGCTGGCTGGGAGCAGGAAAAGGAAGCTGTGCACAGATTTTCAGGGAACCACAAACGATGAAGCCCTGTGGTTTCTCAAGTGTTATCTTGATCAGGTCCTGCGCAACTTCCACTTCAAAGGTTTCAGCTGGGTCTCAAAAAGATCATAAGGGAAGATTGAGTCTCAAGTATCTTAATTAAATTACTCATTCATACAAGGGACTTGCAGGCAATCCAAGATTGATCTGCTTCGAGGCAAGCAGGGGAGAGACAGACACCAGCGACATTGAGTTGGGCATTGCAAGGAAATAGGAGAGAAGTCATCTTACAAAACAGATCAAATAAAAAATAACCAGTAACAAAATAAATAATAAATTTTAAAAAAGAACCTAAAGCCACACCCACAAACCAGGAATAGGAACCCTGTGTTTCTATAAGGAGCACAAGGTGAAGGAATGAATCGGATGATAATGAAAATATTAATGCAGAGATAGACTCTGTCCAACCTGGCCTTGGATACCTCCAGGGGTTCAGGGGCAGCCACAGCTGCTCTGGGCACCCTGTGCCAGGCCCTCCCCACCCTCACAGGGAGGAATTCCTTCCCAGTATCTCACCTCAATTTCCCTCTCAGTTTAAACCCATCACTCCTTGTCCTGTCCTGATGAAGGGCCCTTCTCCAAGGAACGTCCCACTGTCCATGGCAGCAGAAAACTCCCTGACCATCCTTGCTGTGTTTAACACAACACCTGAAGTCTCCTGTTCCACCTCCTGATCATCCCCAAATACTCGGATTTTCCCTGGATGTGTCTTACAGGCTTTTCCAAAGCTGGTGCATCCCAGGACAGCCAACTCTGCAAACTCCCAGAGGTGGAGCAGGGCCAAGTGTGAGAGCAGAGATTTCATTGTTCCTCCAAACACTCCTGCAACCCTCTCTGAATTCTGTCCTCTGCACTGTGCTCTGGCAAGGCACGCCACGATCACAGCAACGTGGTGTGAGGCTGGCATCACTGAGATGATGAAAAACAGCACAAAAATCCTCCCTGAGGTTTTCACATCCATTTCTGCTGGTCGTGTATCCCTGGCTCTCTGCAGTCAGGGAGGTTACTGAATCAATGAAAGTTTAATGCTTACAAAAAGCTTACAAATGGGGCTATTTGACAGGCTCAGAATAAAGTGTGCAGGACTCGGTTTCAGCAAAAAGAGCCACAAAAATAGCCTATGGCAATGTTTATTATTATTAATAATAATAATAATGTAAGTGAAGCCCACGGCACCCAAATGCTTTTGTCAATTCCTCCCTCGCAACCTGTATCAACCCTGCTTTACAGAAATCATTTTGCTTCCAGGGAAATTAAAGCTGAACTTCTCTCCAAGCTGCTCATTCAAATCCACTTTTGATTTTCCCTGACACAGCTTAGTGTTGACTGCAAATTTTGAGAATTACAAGCATGGACATCCATGCTGCTCCCTGCCCTTCTCTTCCAAAAGATTCCAGTTATGAACATCTGTTGTTTACAAGTGCTCAGCCTGAAGGTTGCCAGACTTATTCTTCATCCTCTACTTCAAGGCAAAGGCTGCCAGAAAGGCATCTGAATTTCATGCTGGGATACCCTGGACATTCAGCTCTCCAGCTGACAATTGCTACTCAGGATCCTGCTTCCAAAGATTATCTTGATTTAAAACGTGGCCTTAAAATAGTGTTGTCTTATTTTTTTTTTTCCTTCTTTTTTTTTTTCCATTTTCTCCCTCAAAAGCAATCACTCAAGATTTGCCATGGTTTTCATATTGTTGACTGATGATCTGAATAGGCAAATGCCTCCAGGACAAAAATTACATGAAATAAGAGAACTGAAGGCTGGGGTTGGAGGTCCCAGGGTCTGAGTGCAAGGGAACAGAGCCATTTTTGGGGTTAGAAGTCACCCCCAGACCCAAGAGCCATCTGTGAGATGGATGCTCCGATTTACACCTCAGGTACCAAACCTGGGACAAACAAGCTCCTGTAGCAACCACAGTTACAAGACTTGGGCTTTGAAAGGGTATCATCGGATGCTGAGGAATTTATGTAATATATTCACCAAATATTGTGTAAGACTATGAGACTATTCCCTTTAATAGCCTAATTGAAAAAAACAACCCATTTTTAACAGAGAAGAGGCACAGTGAGGTCTAACAGCCATGGCAAAACAGTTAAATGCAAGTAAAACCTGGGCTTTATCCAACTGCCATCAAACTCCTGTGTCACCCTGGCTAAAGCAATCTGTTCCCTTTCTTCAGAGACATCAGATGAGGATAACACACACCTACCCCTGTAAATCATTTTAAGATGTTCCAGTGAAGCTTCAAACTGAGCAGTGTAGGGCACCCTTTCAGCCCAGATCCAGCCACCTCCAGCTCAAAACCCACGTGGAAAATTCTCCTGCAGGAAAGGCTGAGAGAAATGGATTTGCAGAGCTGAGAGATCTGGGTTTGTAGGCGATGAGAGATCTGGGTTTGTAGAGAAGCTGAAGAACTGGGTTTGTATAGGGTGAGAGATCTGGGTTTGTATAGGGTGAGAGATCTGGGTTTGTATAGGGTGAGAGATCTGGGTTTGTATAGGGTGAGAGATCTGGGTTTGTAGAGGATGAGAGATTCGGGTTTGTAGAGAGGCTGGAGAACTAGGTTTGTATAGGGTGAGAGATCTGGGTTTGTAGAGGCTGAGAGATCTGGGTTTGTAGAGGCTGAGAGAAATGGGTTTGCAGAGGCTGGAGAACTGGGTTTGTATAGGATGAGAGATCTGGGTTTGTATAGGATGAGAGATCTGGGTTTGTATAGGATGAGAGATCTGGGTTTATAGAGGATGAGAGATTCAGGTTTGCAGAGAAACCCAGAGATCTGGGTTTGCAGAGGCTGAAGAAGATAAGCTTTGGGATGACCTAACTGTGCCCTTCCAGCAGCTGAAGGAGCTGATGAAAGATGGAGAGAGGGGACTGGAGGGACAGGACAAGAGGAATGGCTTCAAACTGACAGAGGGCAGGTTTAGAAGGGAAATTGGGAATAAATTCTTCCCTGTGAGGAATTGGCACGGGATGCCCAGGGAAACTGAGGCTGCCTCATCCCTGGAAGGGTCCAAGGCTGGTTTGGAGCAACCTGGGATGGTGGAAGATGTCCTGGGTGAGCTTTAAGGTCCCTTCCAACTCAAACCATCCTGAGATTCAATGCAAACGTGGCCACCTGATCAACTCTTAGCTATCTGGCTGGCATTTGATGGCTTTGTCCATCAAATCTGGCACACAGCTTTGCCCACCTTTCCCAAGAAAATTACTCCTTTTCTGCACATTCCAGTTCTTACATCCCATTCCCCATTAACAACACACAACCTACCAGGAATTACTGACATGAATAAGAACCCAGAAACAGGGAATGGCTTCTGTGTCCAACACAAACTTGGGGAATGTTTTGGCTCTGGAATTGAGAGCAGTGCTGGTGCCTACATTCACTCTAACAACTCTCTTTTCCATTCCTGCCCTTGCAATCAAATCTACAGCGGGGGGACAGGGAATAAAGACAAAAAATAAAATAAATAAAGAACAATAAACCTCACTGGGCTCTGGCAAGCCCCACAGCAGCCTGCACCTCCCACTCTGCTCTCTCCTTGAAGCCTGTGCTCTTCCCAGTGTGGAGGAATCCACACACTCCAGTTCCAGGAATGCTGGGGAGCATTCCCTTGGAGGAACACACTGGGAGCAAGTGGGCAATCCCACAATAGCTGCAGAGCAGGAAAATGCAAATTACAGGGTGGCTGCCTGACAGATTTCCATGTCAGGAGATCTAAAAACGGGATGTGCCACGGGGAGCAGGCAGGCAATGATACAGTACCTTCCGACATAATTACCAGGTTGTGGGGAGAGCAGGCTATTATGGGGTATTTATAGGGTCAGAGCCAGGCAATTACAGAGCAGGCTCCTCTCCCAGACGTGTAATCCTGAGGAGCAGGGAGCTGATGGCTGGCTTTGATCAAACGGGGGGCTCCCAATGGGATTCCAGCCCCAGCAGCTCCACAAGAGATGCCAGCCAGGATATTCGCTGTGATTCAGGCAGAGCAGCACTGGGGACAGGTGGTTACAGTGGAATTGCTTCCCTATGGATCCCTGTGGCATTCTGGCACTCTCCTGACTGGCACAGCCAGCACACAAGTGCTGCATGGCCAGCCTGACCTGTGCCACTGCTGGCCAACACTGCCCACACACCCAGCAGCCTTAGACATCATGCTATTTTTCTCTTCTTCCAACTCTTGACCAAATTAATTTGTGTCTTTATGACTCAAGACCTTGCAGGAATACCATATTCCGAGAGCAAGGCATTATTCTGGCAGGAGTAATCTGTTGCTGAAGCAAGAGAAATCAGGAGCCCAATCAGCACCAGCCCTCTCCCTGCAAATCCTGCAGGATTCTGTTCAACTCTGGTCAAAACTTCACATTATAAATTCATTCTAAATCCCCAAGCAGAAGTTCTATGCAACCTTCTCAAGCTGAATACAAAAGTGTTTCTGATGGGTCATTTCATATCATGTAATATAAAGAAAATCACCTCAATAACAACAAAATCAACTGAAAACACCCATCATATTGCAGAGGAAAATTGTAATTCGAGACATCATCTCTTTAGTGCCATCTTAAAGGCACCTGCAGGATGTGCAGAGTTTATAGTTATAACAACACTTCCACTCTAAAGGAAAAGAAAAAATCCTTTGGATTCTGACAGGTCCATGGCTATGCAGAATAACTCTTCCCCAGTGTGTCAAAGAGCTCTGCTCTGGAGCCAGGCTTTCCTGAGAACACAGCACAACGTGTGCTCTAAATGACAACTGAAGTGAACGACATCAAAGCTGTGCAGACAGGAAACTCAAATGGTGCCTCCTTAATGGCTTCCACACAAAGAGAGCTGCTGCTGGAAACGGGAAGCTGCTGTGTCCCCACATCCCTCCAAACACAGCAACAACACAGCACAAACACAGCCAGAACGTCCCGACCCAAACAATGCGAAAAGTGACGCTGCACTTTGGGCGGGAGCAGGCCCAGATGGATCCTCTCAGCCCAAAATGTCCAAAGCAGAAATGATTCAGGTCCCAAGGCTGCTGCTGCTGCTCCGTGTTTTCCTCAGCTGCTGCCCTGACAACACAACCCAACAAGGCTGAGCGCTGCCCAGCTGGGCTCACCACGCAGCCCCTTCCTCACCCCCACACCCTCTCCAGCAGGTGCTTCTCCTGGGAAAAGCACCTCAGAAGAACCAGGAGGATGTGAGCCCATGAAATCAGGTTCCATCTGCATCAGTCACCCCATCTTAGAGAAGTGGGGAAGAACCAACATCCAACAGCACAGCCAGACCCACCTGCAAATGATGTTTTCAGCAGCAGAGGCAAGAGACTGTCAGTAAGGACGTGTTTAGATTTTAATTGAGTCCCCCCAGCTCGGTATCCAGGGATTCCCTCACCCACAGCAGCACAGCTCTCTCTGCAAGTGCTACTGGCCTTATTTCCCTGCTGTTTGAAGTGATAGTAGCAGAGCTGCAACGCAACTCCCACACAGAGCGTGTGTGGGATCCCAAAAACGGAGAACTGACAGCAGGGAACAGACTGGGAACAGCTTCCCTCCAGAAAACCAAAGCCATTGATGCTGAAGGAAATCCTGGCTTTGTCCATCAAACCTGGCACACAGCTTTGCTCACCTTTCCCAAGAAAATTACTCCTTTTCTGCACATTCCAGTTCTTACATTCCCCATTAACAACACACAAACTACCAGGAATTACTGACATGAATAAGAACCCAGAAACAGGGAATGGCTTCTGTGTCCAACACAAACTTGAGGAATATTTTGGCTCTGAAATTGAGAGCAGTGCTGGTGCCTACATTCACTCTAACAACTCTCTTTTCCATTCCTGCCCTTGCAATCAAATCTACAGCAGGGAGAAAAAAATAAAAAAGGCAGAAACAAAAGGCAAATACTCTACTTGAATTGCTGGTCTTTGGTGCTCCTAGTTTTAGCCAGGAATCTCTCAGCCAACTTCTCCAAATTCCTGGAGTAATCCATCTCAATCTCTGCCTTCTTGCGGAAGAAATCCTGCAAGTCCTGCAGTAACTGGACCCGAAGCTCACACTGCTGGTCAAGGCATTTCAGCTGCTCTACCAATTGGGCACGGATCTCTGCAACAAATAAAAGCACTGCAGATTAAACACAGTCCCATCACAGAAAACACCATCACAATTCTGCAGCAAAACATTGTTAAAAAGTAAGTTCCTTTATTGGTGTCAGCCAGGCTCCCCAGGCAGAAAATGACTGGGGGTGCATTTTGGATACACCACTTGCAGGAAATCCATCCCAAACCCTGCAGTCTGGTGCACAGCAAAGCTTTGTTGCTGAAAAGTGCATCAGTTACAAGTGTCAAGTGCATTTTTGGCATGGGGAACCAGTGGTCACTGCCTAAAAATGTACTGAATCTCAGTCTGGAAAAAGGACTGAATGCTGCAATCCCCCACGTCAGCTCAGCAAACCACTTCAGGGAATTTCTATCAAATTCCTCTGCAAACTACTCCTGATGCAGAAACAAGACATTGCACATTCTGGGGCACTCCCCAAAGGCACTGAATTCAGATTATTCGGTTTGTTCCTGAGTCTCCAGCTGTGCAGCTCATTATAAACCAAGCCATGAAAGAGATGAAGAAACCCCTCTGGAGAGCCAACACCAGAGCACTTCCCATTAGGGAATCATCTCCAGGAAGGCTCCTTTTCCTTTTAAAATATCTGCAAGTAACATATTTCCATCTAAGGACCCCATAAAGCACACAGATATAGGTGTTAATATTATAATTAATTATTAATGCACATTCAAAATAATCACAGGGTAATTATTATGAATGTCTCTATGTTAACATAATATTTTACAGTTTTCAAGCATTTTACAAATAGGAAAGCTTCTCCCATTAGCCACGTGTTCTCCTTATCCCACTAATCCTGAATTTGAGGGACAGAATAGTAAAATCACTCACTCAGTCAAACAGGGCAAGCAAACACAGCAGAAGTGTGTCAGCTGCAGCCTAAAAACACAGAAATATTCAGTGATGCAGCCAGCAAAGGCTATTTGGCTTTTACTCAGGCAATAAACTCAACATGAAATCAATAAAATATGCCCTTTCATCTAAAGGTCTTTGAGCAGTGAAACTGTAGAGATTTGCCACGGCCTGACTGCGAGCTCTGCTCCCTCCCAAGGTTTTCCAAGATGTGCTGTTCCAGGCTGAACCCAGAACCAGCAAGGAAATTTCAGGTTTCACAGCTTTCCTCACACCTCCACACTGCGACTGCAGGCACCCACAACTCCACCACTGCAAGGGAAGGCAGGGAGGGAGTATTTCCCAAATCCAATTTTTTTTAGAAATCAACGACTTCGCCACTGATTCCTGAAATACGGAAAATCAAGGAGAGCAGCTTGGCTCCTCTGTGAGTTTGTCCCTTTGCCCAGGGAAAAAAAAAACAAAAACAAAACAAAAAAAAACCATCTGGACCTCCATGGTTTCATTCCTGCCATGCACTCCCAGGATCAGTTGCCTCGGATCGTGCTCACATCTGCGGGAACAGTTTTAAGGAATCTGGGATTTGCCGTGAACAAAACCCCAAATCTTTATTTTAGGGACTCCAAAACCCAAACCACATGTATGAAAACACAGCTCCCAGTCAGGCTTGCCAAAAAAAAAAAAAAAAAAAAAATTTAAAAAAAAAAAATTAATCTGCACAAATGTGGAGTTTTCAAGCTTGAAGATGACCTTGATTAGCACTGAATTTGGTCATCCCAAACTTCTCAGCCTGTGGTACCCAGGGGCTTTTGCTGCAAGGAGGAAATACAGCCAGCAAGGGTGTTGAAAGGGAACAGTCAACACTGTAATGGGGGGGCAAAACTGGTCAGCTTTATTTTCCCACCCACAGAAGAGAATCTTAAGAACCAGAAAACTTGTGTTTCTTCATCAGGAAACACAGCTACAGGCAAATCCATCAACCTGAGCTGTGTGTGCACTTCTTTAACCAAAACCACTCCAGCTCTGCTGCTTCCCCGGGCTCAGGGATGCTCCAGCTCAGGTAGGGTCACCCCAGGAAGGGCTCAGCACCCTCTGAGGGTGCTGAGGAGACAAATCCACAAGGAACCCAACCCTAGATGTGCAGGGAAGCACGAGCCACAGCAGGTGCAATCTGCACGCTGCATTTATTTACCCCAACGCTGGAGATCCCTTTGCTTTTGAGCTGCCTTTGTTGTTTGCCCCATCCCAGCTGGTGTTTCAGGACTGGAAGGGCCACGGGGAAAGCTGGGATGCTCACACACATCAGACCTGCCAGCACTTCTGTAAAACTTTGCTGCTGATGCTCAGCATGTGCTGCACACACTCAGCTCGAGCCCCAGCCACAAACCCTCTCAAGGATTTGCAAGGCTCTGCGTGAGTGACAGGTTTAAGCAGGGAAATGCAAACCAGACACCCCCATCCCACCTGGGCTTTGCCATTTAGACTTTTTAAAGCAAAGGAAGTGATAACAGCACCAGAACTGCCAGGGAGGTGGTGTTTCCTTGCTCCAATCACTCAGTTCTCCTGATCCTTAACCTGACACTCACCTGCAGGTCTGACACCCAAAAAGAAACAGCCTTCTACACAAGAAGCATTAGAAAGCTCTTCCTCCCTTTGTGTTTTCCCCTGCACCCTTTCCTCACCAAAACAGATGCTCCCAACACAGAAACAACTCTGTGACCTTTCCAGCAGCTACTGGACAAAAGACACTAATTTTAGTAAGTTGAGGACTCATTGAAAGGGATCCCACAAAGAAAACACCTGAGCAGATCTCATTTTTTCTGCTTAGCACATTAAGAAACAGAGTCAGGATTCAAATGCAGCAAATTTTGCCTGTGATGTTTTTATTTGTGCATGTAGAGATTGCCCAGCTGCAATTTTTTGGAAGTCAGCAACCTTCTTAGCATGGATGAGCAGCAGACACCTTGTTAGAGAAGAGGATTGGGGTAGGGATGGCAAACACCAGATTCAGGCAGATCAAAGTATGACCACCCACCCTCCTTGGCGCCTCAATTGATGGATTTTTTTATGAGGCCAACAACCCAGCAAAACGGGGCATTCTCCATAATGTTCTGAATCAGAAAACCACCTCCTGGAGCAAAAGTAGAACTACAAAGGACCACTTCCAAAAAACCAGCAGCTCTCAAATGTGGGAATCCAGAGCTTCCCTCTGGCTGCCCTGGCAAGTCTGGGACCCTGGCAGGGGTCAGGAACCCCCCTGGACAGAGCCCCCAGAGACACTGGCTGTCATCTCTGCCCATGCAAAAGAGTTTGCAATCTTACAGGATCAATTACCAGCTCTGAGGGTTAGATATAAGGAATAATTAAGTGTGGCACGGGTGCAAAAGTAAAATTTTAGGATTCTAGATGAGGGGTCCAAAGGGGACAAGATGGAGGAAATTGGGTGTGCCTTGTCCTTTTTCTCCTTCTTCATGCCCTCCATGTCTCACTGTGGTGTTGGCATTTTTCTGTTGGCTCAGGCTGGGGACACACTGTCCAACGTAGGTGACAGATATTGGCACGTTCTTGTAAATGCAGCCCAGGGAGTTTCTGGTATTTAATGTTTGTCACATCCCACTGAGGGCAGAGCCCCACACGCTGCCCTGCAGGACAGAGCTGGGCAGGGCAGCAGAACATGTGAGAGATAAACAGAATAAACAACCTGGAAACCAGCACAGACCAATTATGGCTTCTGCTTTGGCAGCAGGGCTGAAAGAGACTTTTTACAATCTCGGAATCATCAATACTTCAGATTCTGACACTCAAAGACAAGAAGACCACCAGAAAATCACAAGGCAGCTCAAGCTCTTGGCTCTCGAGGTGGGACACTCCACACACAGCTCCGCCCCTGAACAGCACGGAGAACCAGCAACATCTCCTGCAGTGTGAAATGCGATATCAGCATTTTTCTTTATAAATAAAGGCAGTGTTTTGGAGGGGAGCAGCGACAGCTGATCGGGCTCCCGCAGGGAACAATGCGCCATTCAGCCCCGGCTTATCGAGGCCGCGGCGCTGGGCCCGAGCGAGGCAACCTTGCTCATCTTTCAAACACACACCCGCAGCCCTCTGCCACAAAATCAAATCAAGAATGCAGGAATTTCCTGAGGCTTACTGGGCTTTCCAGAGTATAAAGTGTCTGCTTGTTTTCCCACTGCTTACACAAGCAGAAGGTATTTTTTTCGGCCCCGCTCCGAGCACATCCCTCGGCGGAGTCGGGGCCGTGCGTGCTCTAACCCAAGGGTCACCAAATTACACGGGACCTTTTCATGTCTCCAGTCACAACAACCACTCCAGTCCTGAATCCGCTGCTCCTGCATCCTTTAATTTGCACAGGTTATTAGGTTAACAGCCACTTTAAACACCAAAAAAGCCTTTCCCCCTCTTTTCCTTTAGAGCTCAGCAATCCCACCCACTGTGACTGCTGAAGGCAAGGAACAACCTCCTGAAGACTCTGTTCAAGGGCCTAAAGGTGGATAAGCACATGTTGAATTTAAGGTCAAGATGCCAGTGGCAAAATTAGGAATAAACACCAGGTATTCTTATTGTAAGCCTTGCCCCGTGTTGCTGAATTCTGTCCATTGTATTTCAAATGTGGCTGACAACTACATAATGCAAACATCCTCAGTGGCCAGAGAAAGTTTTCCATCCACTTCAAACAAACCATTTATTCATTTCCATCACCAGATCATAAAGTAACCTGGGTCACCAAGGGACAGACCGTTGCATAATCCTGGGCAGTTGCATGACTTGCATTCTGCAAGCACCTTCTCAACATTCCATGCAGCACGCAGGAGGCAGGTCCAGTTTACAATGAATTCAGAGGGTAAAGAAGGATCTTCTGCCTTCTGTATTTTACTCCCATTTGCCATTCCCCACCCAGAGGCTGTGGCTAGCCCATCCCTGGAAGTGATCAAGACCAGGTCAGATGGAGCTTGGAGCAACCTGGAAGGTGCCCTTGTACAGGGGAATGAGATGAGTTTTAAGGTCCCCTCCATCCCAAAGCATTCCATGATCCTCAGCATCCTCAAACTCCACCAAACATAGCAGAGTTTTGCAGAGCTCCTGGCCAGAATTTGTGTTTTCATCAAACAATTCCA